TGAGTGAATTCCAGTGTTTTCCTTCAATAAATTCGTTGAAATGTCTTCTACCCGTCCCGTAAGTGAATTCTAGTTTGTTCCTTGAATGAATTCGTTGAGATATTTCCTATCTGTCCCGTAACTGAATTCCAGTTTGTTCGTTGAGGTATATCCTGCCTGTCCCATACGTGAATTCCAGTTTGTTCTTTGAATGAATTTGTTGAGATATTTCCTGTCTGTCCCATGTGTGAATTACAGTGTTTTCCTTCAATAAATTCGTTGATATTTCCTGCCTGTCCCGTGAGTGAATTCCAGTGTTTTCCTTCAACAAATTCGTTGGTATTTCCTGCTTGTCCCATAAGTAAATTCCAGTTTGTTCGTTGAGATATATCCTGCTTGTCCCGTAGGTAAATTCCTGTTTGTTCGTTGAACAAATTGAAATACTTCCTATCTGTCCCATAAGTGAATTCCGATTTGTTCCTCGAATTAACCCATTGAAATCTTCCCTCGCTGTCCCCTACTTGAATTCCTGGTTGTTCCTTGAATGAATTCGTTGAGATATTTCCTATCTGTCCCATACATGAATTCCAGTTTGTTTGTTGAGATATTTCTTGCCTGTCCCCTACGTGAATTCCAGGTTGTCCCTCAAACAAACCGAAACATTCCCAGCTGTCCCGACGCGATCGTTTCCACTGTCCCGCATGATCTCGTAGAACGCTTCGATTATACGTAACAACGGACCGAATTAACAACTTCAACTAATAACGATTGACAACAGTTGATGTCTGTGCAGGAGTTACGGAGCAAGAGACCTTTCAAGATATGGGACAGCTGGCGCAACGTTAGGAAGGGGCTGGTCGTCAGTAACTTCGAGGAGCTGATACACAGGGGTAATTGATGATGTTTCTTCTACGTACCTCGCGCGGCGAAAAACCGTTCCACGATCTAATCCCGGTGTTACGACTGCTAGGCAAGGAGAAACTGGGTGTCCCGCAGAACGAGAACGTGTCGCTGGTGCTCGAGTCCGACGGGACGCAGGTCGAAGACGGCGAGTACTTCAAGACACTAGCGAACAACACGATCCTGCTGTTGCTGAGGCATGGTGAACGTTGGTGCCCGACTGGTGTCGATATCATACGCGCCGGTACTTATCCACGTCGTTCCAACGCTCAGTTAACCCTTTGCACTCGACAGTTTTCCACTGGAAATAATACAATATATGTAATATGTGACTTTGAGTCACCTTTGAACTTTTCACTTAAATTTTTCGATTTCTTCGTATTGCGTTTGCAAAAGTTTTTCTGGGATTTGAACCCTTTCCACTCGAAAGTTTTTCGCTAGAAATAATATAATATATACATGTGACTTTGAGTCACCTTTGAACTTTAAAGGGTTAACGCATTTTGTACGCCGGCGAAATTTCAGCTAGATTGTATTGATATATTTTGAAAAATCGATCAAACCGAAATTTGTAACTTGCGAAGAAGAATAAGGAATTCGATTTTGTAATTTTACTTTGGATTTCTGTTATATATATCTGAAACGTTACGTTAATGTAGGACTAGCAATTTAAACAATCGAAACATCAAACAACCCGAAATTTGTAACATATAGCAAAGAGTAGGGAATTCGATTTAGTAATTTTGGTTTGGATTTCTGTTATACTAATCTAATCTAATCTGAAACGTCACATTAATGTAGAACTAGCAATTGCATCAATCGAAACATCAATCAACCCGAAATTTGCAACATAATCAAAGAATAAGGAATTCGATGTAACAATTCTACTTTGTATTAAGCATAGAACATCTAATCAGTATAATCTATCAAAAAATATCAATCTTCGTCCGCAAAGGGTTGAAAGCAAATCTACCGCGGTCGATGAGCTAAGAACAAGTTTCTCGAACGAAAGACACGTCGCCGAGGAAAACAGAACGCGATCGGTAAGGAAAAACAGTCGGTTCGCTCGCGGAGAAACGGGTTAGCTTCCACAGCTGGTTTCCGATAGGATTGGCCCAGAAATCCGAGCGAAAATAGAAGGATTCGCACGCGTAATGGAAAGGGGAGGGTTGGGAGTAGGCAAATAGGCTGTTTCGACGAGTCGAAAGGCTAATCGAATATTCGAACGGCTTTTGTGGCCGGATTCGATTCCCTTCGAGCTCTCTCGTTGTTTCGCCTCGAGGAAGGGTTGCGATAGCTCCTTTGGAAGACAACGTTCGCGACGCGATTAACTTCGGAAGTGTCGCGTTAACACGTTAAATGTCATGTCAGTCATTGGTGGATTGTTAGGAGTAATTGGCAGTCGATTGTTTTTAACCGTGAAATTTGAATAGAGTCGACTTAGCTCGGTAATTTTAGTGTTAAAACTGAAGAACGTACTTTAATACGTTAAGTACCATGTCAGTCATTGACGCGTTTGAATTACTTGAAAACTGTGATCGTGAATCGTGATCAACCGTCAACTGAATTTCAGAAAATCAAAATCAACTGAACATCAATCAACTGAATTGTGACACGCGAGATAATCGATGAGGAATCAAAATGTTTAATAACGTAACGAAGTTGATAGTGTAACACAAAGATTGTAACGCCAGATAGTGAACAATTGTTGCTACTTTTCTTTGCTAAAAAGGATAACTGTACAAGATTTTCGTAGCACTTGTTAATCGTAGAAATCGAGGATCAAGTCATTGATCGGTTTCGTTCTCTCCGATCGTCATGATCTTCGAGTATGTCGTTGGACACACAATATCTAACACGATTCCGTAGTGGACCAACTTGACCAAACGGAATTTGTTCTGTCCCGGAAGTAGCAGCCATCGACGGGGGGAAAAAAGGATATCGGGTATCGCGCATCGGTCTAATACTCGCGGCGCGTCGCGATAATAGAGGCGTCGTGCTTGCTCGCGAGTCATCCGTGAATAGAAGCCGGTATCGATTCATAAGTACAATAAGACAAAAGTGCGGATTCGTTCGAGGGGGCGATCAGATAACGATTTATTCAGCGGGCACGGGATGCGCCACGGAAAAATTGATAGGCGTTCGCGCGCGCTGGAATTTTGATGGCGCGTGTCCTGCCCTGTGTTCCGTTAACCGATCACGTATTCGATCTGTTATACCGGTTAACCGGTTCAAGTGAGTTTAACGTTGAAAATCTGGCGATGAAATGAAATGATGCGTATGCTTGTGAAATAGAAACGCAGGTATAATATATTCCAACGAGAAGCTGAAACGAAGAATGATTCATCTGGGAAACTAAATTTATTGTTTGAAAGGATTAGTATCGTTTGTTGACGCTGGAAGTACTAGATGAGTCAAAATTACTCGTTTCTCATTTATTCTTTCATGAATTGAATATAAATGCTTCGTCAAGAAATGACTAAAATTTACTGATATACAAATTGAAATATAGTATATTTCTATTACATATTGAAATATAATATATTTCTATCGCATATTGAAATATAATATATGATATATTATATAATATATAAAAATGAAATATAATATAATAATTGATACCTTAATTTCTATAAAAAACGTTTCTATAAAAAACGTTCAAAAATCGATTCAGCTCGGTAGCTCTAGTGTTGAAATAACAGTTAATAATGTAAAAGAAAACTATGACTCTTGATGACTCTTTCTATGTCAAGATTTAGCATAAACCATACAAATTGCTAACGAGAACAATGTTTCATTTAAACTTAAATCTTCACCTTGTGTCTGACACGATATAGTAAAGCAAGATGTTAAAGCTCGAAACGCTACTAATTCCGTCAACGACGAATCATCTATTTTCTCTCATTTAATGAAAACATACCCTAGCCGCATCGGTCTCACGCGGCACGTGTTCGAATGACAATAGACAAAGTAACTGACGCGGACGCTTACCGGTTTCAGCGATTTCAGCGATCCCGAAAATAGTCTGCGAGACGATCCACGCCCTGGAGCTGCACGATGAGACGCCGTCGTGGAAGATCATGGACAATAAGGGGCGGGTCACCGTGGTGCTGCACTGGGACCAGCGTTCCTCCGCGTCGTCGCAGGTGCAGCAGCAGCAGAAGGGTCCTGACGCCGGCAGCTCGAAGTACTCGCCCACCAAGAAGGCCGACCTGAGTGGCGCGCAGCGGCCGTCGCTGGTGATCCAGACGAGCCTGGACAAGCTGAACTACGGCGCGAAGCCGGGACACCTATCCGGCGAGCTCGGCCCCAGCCGCTACGCCAGCCCCCAAATTACTGTGATAAATCATGACGACATGGTACGCTAAAAAACAAATCCCTGGCTCTCTTTCCTCCCGGCAATAATAACACCGGCGACCGCGCGCGAGATAATTCCGTATCGCCGGCGAGGTTCCCGGGTCGAGATCGGTCCGGACCGGCTGCTGACCGAGAAGCGGCGCGCGGTACGAACGGGACACGGACGGACGGACCGCCCGACCCGGGAGCCTCGTTGTAGCGCCCGACAAGATGGCGCACCGTTTAAAATTGTCGCGGTGACAGCAGCAGCAGCAGCAGCCGCAGCAGCAGCCGCACGGGATGCCCGGCCGCCTGGTGAAGCAGGGCACGAACTCGTTCGACAGCACCACCATCCATATCCACACGCCCGAGTGTTCGAATCACATCCACCAGCCGGTGGTGAGGAACGGTAGCCCGGTGAACGGCGCGGACAGCGGGGCGAGCGGCGAGTGCGACTTCCATTGCTGCGCCCTGCACGAGGAGGGCCGCCGGATCGCGGTGCACAAATCGGTGGCCACCTCGCCGATCCAGGACGCCCAACATCAGCAGTACCAGCAGCAGCAGCAGCACCATCATCCTCACCAGCAGCAGCAGCAGCAGCAACAGCAGCAGACGCAAACGCAGACACCGTCGCCGCAGCCTCCGTCTTCTTTGTCGGACGGCACCAGGCGACCCGGCCTGGTCAAAGGCCACGTGCGTTTCTGCGACACCGCGGACGACGACTCGGGAGGGTCCCGACTGGCCGGGAACTCGTCCACGGCGGGATTCCACATGAGACATCATCACAACCATCATCATCAGGAGCACGACAGCTCCGAGTCGGAGACCGAGAACACGATCATGGAAGACGAGATCGTCACCTCGGAGAAGTTTTTACTGCTCATCGATCAGCTCACCGTAGACCAGAAACACTTAAGCATCAAGGACATCGGTATCATACTGGAACGGCTCAGCTCGAAGATCGTCGACGTGGAGCGGTTGGACCGCGAGAGCGAGAGCGAGGAGTGTTACAACTGGACGATCAAGGCGATCATCAAGGGGGACGTGCTGAGGGAGCTCGGCGTCATCTACAACGGGAACTACTACGCGATCTCCGAGCATCCCGGCTACAAGGAGGAGTCCGAGGAGAATAACGAGGATAACGAGGAGGAGGAGGAGGATAGACTTTAATATGATGCTGTTTCGCTAGATAGATAGATAGATAGATAGATAGATAGATAGATAGGTAGATAGTTAGGTAGATAGATAGATAGTTAGGTAGATAGATAGATTATACACCTATTAATGGTTATTATTACAAATCTAGTACGTACTCGAGCTGCGGGGGTGAAAGAGAGAGAGTGAGAGTAAGAGAGAGAGAGAGTAAGAGAGAGTGAGAGTAAGAGTGAGAGAAAGAGAGAGAGAGAGAGAGAGGGGGGTTCGATGGATTTCGCGGGATCGTTTCGATTGGGTAGGCGAGGAGAGGTAGAGGGAATCGCGCGGAGCAGCGAAACGTGATTTTTTTCAAAATGTTTTCATAATAAAACGAAACGCGAGGACGGGACGCATCGAGGCGGGGCCGGAAAAACGAGGAAAAAAAATAATAATATGAGAAAATCGTACGATACCTTATAAACTTAGCTCTAAAGACGGTTGTTGAAGTATGTACTTATTAAATAGTATGTATACTTGTAGGAAACGTTTTTTGGGATTACGGACATTGATTCCGTAACCGTCCACAACACTGCCCTATCTAAAAAAAAATGAAAGAAAGAAACAGAAAAGATAAGAAGAACGAAGAGAGACTTAGAGACAAACGCGCAGCCAGAAACGAAGATCACTCGAGAGGAGAAACGGGATACGAGAGAAATAAAGAGGGAAATAAGTCTTCCCGATCGACGAAGGAGACGCTGAACGAAGAGAAGAGATTCGATGATCGCCGATAGATCCTCCTGGAATTCTCTTCGGAACGAAATGATTCCTGCGAGCCGATCGCCGAGACTGCTCTCTCGATGAGCCGACGGTTCACCGTTCTAAACAGTTCTACATCCGTAAACGGCGAGTAACGAGGTTCGGTAGCCGCTGAGATTCGAACCATTCGAAGATAGGTACTTTTTCGACGATTCGTTTCGAGAGAGAGAGGTCGAAAGAGAGGAGATCGCCGGGAGAGAAGAGAAACGCAGACACTCACACGCATTCTACACAGGCAGCACACGAGACGAGAAGCTGGAGGGGGCAGGGAGGGAGGCTCGTTCGGGTTTACGTTGGCGGGTCTACGCCACGATAAGTGATATACCGATGATACATACGTATATAAGGGAATCGGGAGGCGCGCGGACCGGCCGGGTCCGCGAAACTTTGCAATTTTAATATATTTCTATTGTAAGTATATTTGAACACTGCGAGGACACGACGGGGGAAACTATTCGGCGAAACGTACGTAGCGATTTGTCTTTGTCGTCGTCGTCGTCGTCGTCGTCGTTTGTAGTCGTGCGGAAGCGAAACACACTTTATACATAACAATATTAAAAAATATATATATATAAATATATATATACATAAAGAAGAATA